CCTCGCGGGCCAGGGCGTAGACGACCTTCGCCGGGTTAGAAGGACGCCGCGGTGGGCTGGTAGAGCCGCCCAGGAAGCTCGGCGAGTGCGCCTCCTGCCTTTGGATGTCAATGGCGACGATGATGGTGGTGGTCAACATATAGCACGACACGCACACGACACGCAACGAAAGCAAAGAAATGGCACACGCACTCGCATTTCTCTTTGTCCCACCACTCGAGGCCCAGGTCGGGATTGGTAGCCTTGACTTGCTCCATGTAGTCCTTCAAGAAGACGGCTTCCGACTCGTGTCGGGCGAGCTCGAGCTGCAGCAGAGCGAAAGCGTGTGAGTGGGCGCGTGAGTGTTGATTGTCAGCAGCCACGTCGGGGAGTGGGATGGTTGTTACGCAGCCGTGGCTGCAGAAATCGCACGAGACGTCGTGCGTGGCGATGAACTCCTTGATGAGCTCAAAGTTCTGCTTCTTGAACTCGGACAGCCTCGCTTCCTCTTCCTGTCGGCCAAGAGGTGGTGCGTGGTGAGCGAGGCGGCCAAGAAGAGCGCTGATGTGTGCAATGGCGAGACGACCCTGCCGTAGAGCTCGAGCTTGGACTCAGAGAAGGGCGTGAAAGAAGGCCAACAGTGACCGCCATTGCGGCCGGTCGCCCCTGTGCCCGGGCAAGGAGCAAGCGGCCAGCGCTGAGCTCGGACTACCATCACTATGAGGATGAGCGGGAGTACCGTGCGCCAACCCATCACGCTGCTCGAGAACCAGCACGTCGCTCACTCCGCTTCGTCGCAACCAGTAGGCCGTGGCCAACCCGGTCATGCCACCCCCTTGCGCAAGGTGTAAGCCCCAGTTCATTTTGATGATCACAACTTCAAGATTTCGGTTGAGCACCAATGATTACGACGGCAGCGTGGGATGGCAGCTGGGTTTGGCTGTGCTTGGCTTCCTCCTTGCGCCCATCATCTAGCGTCGTACCGAGCCAGTAGGGAGCTGCCCGCAACGAGCGTTCCATTACAATCTTGTTGCAGGAAATGGGCGAACACGTGAGGCAAATGATTGGAACATCCATTTATTAACATAAACACGGCACAACGAACACAAAGACGGCACAGCAGCGAAGACCACGCACTGGAGACCCACGCGTACCTGAGGAATGAAATGGATGAGACACAGCCGGAAGAATAAAAAGATCGGAGAAATACAAAAAGAACTGTTCCCTCATGTAAAGTAGGTAAGATTTCGTTGCTCTCATCCGCATCGAGCGAAAGGATGTTTAATCGTTGGGAAGATAGAGGAGAAAGCATAAAAATCTTCTCCGGATCAGTACCTTTTGCAGATGACAGATGGCACTCCGGCGGATCAGCAAGCCAAGAAGAAAACAACCGCTCCCTGTGAAATGTTGAGGTTAGAAGAGAACGTAGGAGCTCGAACAAGGACAAAGAACACAGACCAGAATTTTCATTACGAGATTCCATTGCACTCATAGATTTATCATGAGATGAGGTTTAAAACCGTTTCTAATCCTTACAGGTCTGGCGGCCTGAACACTGCGCACACAGGCCAACAGATTGGAGGGGATTTGTACCAAGAACGGGTGCGGTAGTGGCGGGCAAGTGCAGCTGAAGAAACAAGAAGGCGATAGAAAAACAAGAGGCGGAGGAAAACAGCTTTTTCTCGCTACTCCGTGTCGACAGCAATGGCTTGGCATGTCAGGCAGCTCAATGCCATGTGTCAAATAATCAAAATCGATGAGAACGCCGACGATCTGCACTATTTTGCTTGTGATTGGCGTCCTGCACCTGCGAGCAAGCACGCACGCGGTGCTGGGCGAGGGCGTTGAAGAGATAGAATGGCTGGAATCGTACGAGGCGGCGCTGGATGAGGCTCGCGCGTACAATCCCCCACGCTGGGTAGTGCTCATCGTTCGCGACGATACAAGGTGGAGCCAAGAGCTGCTGAGAAGGCTGGATCACTCCAAGGAGGCCATCCATCTAGCACGCACACACTTTGTCATGGCACAAGTCACCGAAGAGGCCCTACCGCCTGCTGCCCGCCTTCAATTCAACGAAGTAACCCCCCCCCCAATCTCATCTGCTCCATAATCCCGGCCCTCACATGTGCATGGCAGCTTGCGCCGTACGCACCGAGTGCGTTCTTCATCGGACCGGACGGCCATGTTCGCCGTGAGCTCATCAACAAGTTTGCTCCCGCCGATCAGGTACGCGCTCGTCTAACGTGGTTGGCACTACGCCCGCTCTCTCTTACGTCTGAGCACCGTCGCTCTCTGCACAGGACCCGGTTTACAAGTACTTCTACAAGACCGCAGCACCCCTCGTCCGCATGATGAAGGTGGTTATCGACCAGGAGCGCATCAGCACGCCCGCTACGGCAGGCCGCGAGGAGTTGTGAGACCGACGACAACAGCCGCTCGCTCAAGCTTCGAGCATAGTCCACGCGTTGGCCAACAACAGAAACAGACCATGCGGTATCAGCTGGGGGGGACAATCAACATGCAGAATCTCTGGTACATAGCCTTGCAGTGTTTAACAAGCCAATGGGCAGTTGGCGTTGTACAACGTGCAACAACTTAATGGTCGACAGCAATTTAGACCAACACCCGAGTGTGAGCAACAAAACCATCGACTTTTCGTGTGTGCAATGCGGCCAGAGCTCTCTGCCGCCGTCGCACCGCACCAGGTATAAAACCACTTCGCCTCCGCCATTCTCTTCATCACAACCAACAACCAACAACAACCACCAACATCAGCAACAACAAGAAGAAGATGAACAAGCTGCTCTCGTTCGCGGTGTTGGCCGCTCTGCTGGCCATGGCGGCGGCCGACTGCCAGGTGTCGGTCACGCAGACCCTGGGCAGCGCGTGGACCACCAACGGCCAGGACTTCTCCCAGTGGAGCGTCGCCATCACCAACACGGGCTCCGAGGGCGTCAAGTCCGTCGACCTCTCCATCACCAACGACTCGCTCTTCGACCAGCTGTGGAACATCGTCAAGGACAACCGCGGCCTCTACGTCCTGCCCGACTACATCCTCCAGAACGGCGGCATCGCTGTGAGCGGGTCGTACCAGTTCGGGTACATCATCAAGAGCAAGGCGCAGGCCACCATCGATCTCGAGGCCGTCGACTGCAAGGCCGTCTCGCCCTCGGTCGCCCCCTCGACCTCGCCCGCCGCCCCTTCGGCCTCGGCATCGCCCGCCGCCGCGTCGCCCTCGTCGTCGGCCTCGCCCGTCGTTGTCGCCTCGCCGCAGCCCACCGGGTGCACCGTGACGGTCGAGTCCGTGGCGCGCTCCGCCGCCAGCGGCGGCCAGTGGACCGAGGGCGACTCGCAGTTCCAGATCTTCGACGTGACGACGACCAACTCGGGCAACACGCCCGTGACCGCGGTCAAGCTCACCATCAGCGTGTCCGGCGCCGACGTGAGCATCTACCAGTTCTGGAACCTGGAGCGGAAGGAGAACACCAACGTGTTCAACGTGCCCACGCCGTGGGGCGCCATCCAGGTGGGCGCCTCGCAGGGCGCCGGCTTCATCGTCAAGTCCAAGGAGGGCCAGAGCGTGGCGACGCCCGTGGTCAAGGTCGAGTCGGCCACGTGCTCGGGCTCGCCCACCGCGGCGCCCTCGCCGGCGCCCGGTTCGCCTTCGCCGTCGCCGTCGAGCCCCGTCGTGGCCACGCCTCAGCCGAGCGCGGCGCCCGCCGGCTGCAGCGCCGAGCTCACCATCGTGGCGCGGTCGGCAGCGAGCGGGGGCCAGTGGCAGGACGGGAACAAGTGGAACCAGATCTTCGACGTGGTGGTGAGCAACACGGGCTCGAAGGCCCTCACCGGCGGCCAGGTGTCGTTCACGCTGGCGTCGGGCGTGTCGGTGAGCCAGTTCTGGGAGCTCAACCGCAAGGACGCCACGACGTTCACCATCCCGACGACGTACGGCCCGATCCAGGTGGGCGCGTCGCAGGGCGCCGGCATCGTGGCCACGACGACGACGGCCACCACCATCGCCACCCCCACTGCCACCCTCTCCGGCCTCACCTGCAACTGAAGCAGCAGCAGCAGTATCAGAAGCAGTTGGCTATGATGAGGGTTCAGCAGCAGAGCGGCATCCGCTCGCCCTTCATCTCCCTTTTGTATCATTTTTTTTGTGACCTATACAACATATACTCCACATATTGATCAACATGTTCATGACCACACTTTCTTGGCAGCAAAGTGACGAAGGAGAGTTTCACGCCTTCGACACGGTGGCGTCGATCGCCATCTTCTGGTCCTGTGGTTGTTGCTTGGCGTCGATGGCGGCCTGGAGGCGATCGCCGGGGATGGCCCCGCGCGGGAGGACGAGGAAGACCTTGCGGTCCATGCCCTCCTTCGTCTGCAGCATGTCCGGCATCAGCTCCTTGAGCATCTTCAGCCTCCGCTCCACGTCCTCTGCTCGAGTTGAAGGCGAGAAGAAAGCGAAACAAGTGGCCGGTTAGGGAGAGACCACCGAGCTGAAGGCAGGGGGGGACGAGTACGCCGCTCCACGGACAAGCCGAAGGCATCGCGATAGGACGAACATAGTTGGACCAAAGCTTCGTCGAGCGGGATGGGCTTGAACTTCTTGACCACGAACAGCCTGTTGTTGAAGCAACGACAAAGTGTAAATGTCTGGGCATCTTGAAGGCGAGCCTACTGAGACGAAAGGACGGCGCCTGACGTGAGACATGAGAATGATGAGGTGAGAGAACGTACGACCGCAAGACGAGGTTGAGCTGAGGGAGCGACTTGAACAAGAAGGCCTCCTTCTGCTCCTCGGCACTGCCTGCTGCGGCCAGTTTAGCCTCGCGCTCCTTCACTCGTCGCAGCACGGCGGCGTATCGCTCCGCACGTCCCTCCTTAGTGTTGCTTGGGAATCTCGCTTTCGTCGCGCCTGCTTTGATGTTGGTTTCGATATCATCTTGCCCGGTGGCGCTGGCCGGTGCGGGCTCTTCGCGTTCCATCGTTGCGTTGTGGCTCGACTTCGCAGACTTGGCCTGGGCGAGGGAGGCAGCGGTGGGGACCTCTGGCAGGGGAGAAAGCGGAACTTCGAAGGTGGATGATGATGCGATGTTGCCTTCCGCCTTGAACGCCACCAGTCGCTCGTGGAACCTGCAGCGACACATGGTTGTAGATTAGCTTACCATTGTCAGCGAGTGTGTTTGGGCCACAGGAAACCACATACGTCGCCTTTCGTTCAACTGGCTTTGCGCCCTGTGTCGATCAAGTGTGAGCTCGCATAGACAAGACACCAGCCGAACGCTAACACAAGACGCCAAGAAGACGACACGATACCGGAGGCAAAGCGAGAGTGAGCACGTAGGGGCCGCACGATGGGTGTAGCAACTTTTCTTTAGGATGCGTCTTGCGTGCTTCGAGCGCGTAAGCTTCGGGGTAGACTGCACGGAGTGGGGTCAATACGCGGTTGAGTCCAAGTTCAGTAGAGTGGGCCAGCTGTGCGTACTCGTCTTGATCTGCGCCAGGTGAGAAAGCAAGAACGGCCTGCACGAGCAATAAGGCGTCGGTAAGAGAGCAGGGCGGGTTGGTGGCCGTAACTATGAAGGCGTACATTTGAGAAAGTGTCTGGACGCCCTGCTGCGCATCAGGGAAGAGAGTGGGTCCCTTTCGATTGCACAGTAGCGTCATGTCGAGCCCTGCAAATCGTTCTTCAAGCTGATGCGCGCCCTCCCACCATGTGCCTGTTGTCTCTTCAACGGGCACCTTCAAGGGAAACCGTGGTGAAGAGATGTTCAGCAACGAAGGCAGCTAGGGTAGCAACGGGGTACCTTCTGCACAAAATCTGACTCATCTGCGGGCTCCGCTTCTTTCCTTCTCCTCTTCGCCACTCGTTTTCCCCTAGACGACGCAGCTTCGGGTTCCTCAGCGGCAACTTCCTGCAAGCGAGCTGGCTCATCTTTTGCTTCAATGGTCATCGGGGCCGCTGCATTATCGGCCTTCACTTCAGCATCTCCAACAGGCTTTCGACGTCGCTTGGCCACACGACGCGGTCGTTGAGCAGCGTCCATCTTGCAATTAAATCCAACAATGTTGAATCTTGCGTCTTGTGCCGGCGTTTGCATTCCTTCCCGCCTTTTTTGGTTCTGAAATTTCAATATTTTTCGGAGTTTCAGAAAATTGGAAGAAAACAGTTACCTTAATCTCAAATTTCGGCTAGCCGTTGTGAAAAGCTGTTGGCTGTTTGAAAAATGTGACGAGGTCCGCGTGCCGTTGGTCCACCGTTTTCCCTCCATTTTCGTTCTCGCGCCATTACAAATCGCGACGGTGTTCGCCTTTATTTTGTTTTTTTCTACACCGCACTCCACCACAACTCTTGCGCGCGCCTTTGCAGCTCCGTGAGATCCACCTCGCCACAACCGTATTCATATCTATACGCTACACCCATCTATCGAGAAGATGAGCACCAACATGTGGGCCAGAGATCGTCAGGAGTCGCGCAAGAAGGAGTTCAAGGCCGGTGTCTCGGCCGAGGATTCCAGGCGCAAGC